TCCGGTGGCCCGTCGACGGTCCCTGTCATCGTGTTTTGACTCCATAGAATGGCCGTGTCCACGCTTTCGACCGAGGTGGTCAGGCATTTCCCCTGTTGAGTTGTTCATCTTGCGTTGTATTTCTGGTTGTTTTAACCTGCTTGCTTGCATATCCACGCCATCGTCTTTGTATTGTTGTTACACATTCAGCTCTCCTGGAACTCTTACGTACACACTGATACCCTTGCTTGACGATACCCTCGCATTCTACTTACCCGAGTCCATCCCATCGCATTCATAGTGTGTCTTTCTGTTGCCGTCGTTGCTGCGCAAATGTTGACCAATGTTGTACGCTTTCCGAGTCTATGCTAGATTGCATCTAATCGAAATATATTCTGCTTGATCTGCTTCGATCCTTGAATCTGCGACATGCACAATGTCTGAGTTCAATGCAGAGTCGACACCGCGACCGCCTTTGGCGCCGGAAGGATTGCCAGTACTGAGGCGTCACAAGACCTGTAGTCTGATGCGGATCGATTTGAAGCATGCTGGACTCGAAGGCAGCGTCCTCAACAACTTTTCAGTGAAATTTGAGGACTCGGAAGCCACACTTTCGCCGTCGAAGGTGCTCGCAAGCCCTGTCAATAACGTCCGGGCCGAGTCGGATGACCGCTATGCCATCGCTCTTTACGGGTTTTTGTCATTCATAGTAGTCAAAAAGTTCGGTCACGCCTCGCTTCGCTCTGCCTTCATAACCGTCACTAGTTGCGACAGGATGCGACGCGTCCGAGTGCATTCATCACAGAGCGCCATTCGCACTGGCCCGGGCCTGTGGCGCTCGCCAGACGCGTCTGTGGCTGAAAGATCGGGCAGCGATCTTTCATTACGCCAGATCTACGCGGGCGTCTGTGCCTCTCGACCTCTCGTCAGCGACTCGCTGGTCCAGGTTGTCTTCCGTTCATTCTGCTGGCAGACTATACCTGCTCTCCTTGCTACTTCGAACTTCATCACTATTGGGCCTGCAATGTGTGGTGACCATGTCATCTGGGAGGCCGCGCGGCGCACGTAGGCTATACTAGTACTGTGTACCACCAGTCAGCCCATGACAACTGCAAGGCTAATGCGAATCTACGACGTTACGCGATAGTTCCCGAACAATCCTATCGCGCAACAACTGCGATATCATACCTTCTGGGCTACTTTGAGCACGACAGCGAGGTGACGGATACGGGAGTAGTCCCGTCGGACAAAGAGCCACTGAACGGCCTCTCGTGCTTAGCATCTCGGCGCATACAATACAACCTGCTCTGGACAACGACTCGTATGCCTCATGCATGGCTTTGACTATTCTACCGGCATTGTTCTCCGGACTTTGTCCACAGGACCGCCTGCGCTTGCATGCAGACTGCCTGAGGGTATAAATACCCTCCTCCATCTCTTCGCCCACATTGAATCACCTCGCCCTGACTACCGCCCGACATGTGGTTTCATCTGCCTCTCGCCATTCAGTACGATGTCGTACTCCTACTGTTCATTCTGCACTGTGCGTTGTCTGTATGCGATACCATTCCTTCTAACCACGCATCCATCGGGCCTCCAAAGCCAACCATAACTCCATTATCTATCGAAACATGAACCCACGCATGTACCAACACTGCTAACAACTCTTATGGGTATGTCTTTTGTACGCTTTGTTGAGCCGGAGTGGCAAACTTGACGTCCACATCTCAGTGCCCTTCAGCACCAACACCACTGGAGGTTCCACCACCGCCGACTCCATACCCCAAGTGGCCACTGTTCCTCCGAATCCTCCTGCAGGCCGGCCGCTCCACACCCATCTTGCCACGCGATCGCGTCGTGCCTCCACAGCGATACCAACCATATCTCCTCGCCCTGTGGGCCTCAACGCCACCCTCAACTCCGCAGCTCTTTGTGCTTCCGGTGCCTATGAACTCGGGCGCCTACGTAGACCCCAGCGAGAGAAGTGAGTGGCACACGCTTTCTCCCAAGGGGCAGAACTGACTGGTCCTCGACAGCTCTGGAACGTACGCGAACCCATGCTCCGGCACCAATGGTAAACCGACACCCATGCAGGCGTCGACGTCTGCAGCCGGTCGGGCTACGGCAATCGACGCGTTGTATAGCCGGTGAGTCCTCGAATTTCTTCTAACTTTGAGTGCACAGCCTGTCAAGGGCCACAGGGCTTGGTGAACGATCAAGCGACCGCCGCTTCGCCGCCAGCCCCAGCGGCGCGAGGTCCAGCGGAACATAGTGATGGTCGGGCCCTTGGAGATGAGTCATTCACCTGTAACATCGGGCAACGTATGAACTCGGGTGGCTTCAAACGAGCGGGGCCCTCCGGAGTTCCCTATTGGCAGACCCCTGCGGCACGGACATCCTGGACCGCAGTGATACCCACGTCTGCCCTGGAAACGGTTGCGGAGGTATCCAGCTCAAGTCTGCGAAAACCGGACAAGCGTGCCTCGCGGGCCACGAAGGTTCGCACATCCTTGGGCAGCACGGTGATCTGCTCGCCGATTACGCTGCCTCGTGCAGCAAGGAGAGTCGGTGGGTCACGAAGAAGGCATGGAGAAGCATGTTAGGGCGTGCTTCAAAAGGTAAGTGTCGCTTGGTACGACTTGGTAGTGACACGGATGCCAATCTCATTATTCTCTGCACGTCGCCAGATCACGCCGGGCAGCGCGTAAGACCACCGCCGCGACGACCCCGTAGAGCTTCTCGAGTCGGATGATATCAACACGCCTGGCTTGACAGCCGGCACATCAACCAACGACGGCGGCAGCCCGGTCTCACCGCAAGACGTCGCTATGATTCGGTGCCAGCGCAAGAGCGCACGCAGTTATACTCAACTCGACTGCTGCTAGCGTCAACGGATGCCTCGCGTATTTCGTCGGCTCTCGCCCGCTGGCGCGAGGAAGGAGCACACACCATTCGAAGACGACACTGCAACTGCGAACAGTGAAGACCTGCCGGCAGCCTGGCAGCCGGCTGTGTATAAAGACCTCGACCTGCGACGGCATCGTCTATTGACGAGGAGTCCCTCCGCAGACGGACGTCGATGCTGCCGAGCTGACCATGGCGTTCGACGCGTAACTCGCCACAGAATATACGCAGGTGGTTTCCTCCGCTGCGTTTCTTCTTCCATAAGCCAGCTGACGTCGAGCTCGTGCCTGGACAGACTCAGTATCAGTACCAAGACGGAAGGTTTGGCGACCCAGTTCTGGGCGCGATCCGCTTTTCACAGCTCTATCTGGACTCCATATATCCCATTGCACAGATGTGCAGTGGCTTCCTGCCACACGCAGGTCAGGAGGAACCGGAGCTCGGCTATCGGCGGGACGGGCCCTGTGCTTCGCGCAACCGCCGGTGTCCACGGCTTTCGTAGGAAATCAACAAACGTGTGGCTGCCTACGCGGGACAATGCTGAGACACCCGCCTCGCTCACTACCTTAGATGGGTTCACAGGTGGCGTGCAGGACTTCGTGCATGTGCGTTTCTCGCTGCACGGATGCCCTCTCATCGGGTGACTCATCGAATTTGTACCTGCGCAGATGAGGGAATTCGCTTTGGCCCGCCGAAGACAGCACACACGACGACGCGCTGGGACAGCGTACACGCATCGTACGTGCAGTGCCTCTGTGCGCGTATATGCACGTAGGCTCTGCACACTGGGATGCCGCGCAAGCCCGCGAGCGACACACGACGTGCGAGAACTCACCTTCCTTGCCACGACTCGAAACCCACACCTCTGACGCAAACACCTCGAACGGTACTAGTCGTGCTGTCGTGGTGTCTCTCAAAGACAGAGATATGACATCACTGGCCTATCTGCTCAAGACAATTCCAGGACGAAGAGGGCGAGCTATCCGACGAGGAAACTCGGTACACCGCACCTCTAGGACGGATAGTATCCCTGACCGACCTACACGATCAGCACGCCGTAGCCTCCGGCTGAAGCGGAGACACGAAGCCTTGCTGCAACGGTGTCTAAGTGATCCGTGCAGAATCTCAAGAATCCACACTGGTCAACGCACGGAGATTGGCGTCCGAGACCATCGCCTTCCCCATCCACGCACTATCCTCGTTGTAGGACCCGGCCCGCGTGCCTTTGCCATCATCGAGACGACCGCCCGGCCCGTGGCACCCCACACTTCCTCTGTATCTACTTTGCAACCGTTGACGTCAAGACACGCCAGTAGAGCTTACCATCACCACAGCCTTCCTCATGGCGTGCGACGCGCTAGCCTCATCCTCGAATTCCCTCCATGCGAACGAGCGAACGCGACCGGATGTCCCGACACCGCCTCTCCTAGCTTGAAGAGCATAAACATACCGTCGGCGTTCGCACTTTTGTCCTCTCGTTGGTACATACGCCCTACATTACCTCCTACGCTGGGTTGTGCATTTGCATCGCAGACTACAGGTCGTCGCAATCCTCGCGCCGCAGACGATGGTCGACGTCCGCTCTGGCTTTATCAGTGCCCAGAATCTCTACGGAAAGGTTCACAATTCACGCTCTTCGTATGTGCGCATGCATGTCGACTCGGCTTCTTTGAAGGGGACGTCCTGCTCCTCACACAGATGCCGAACTCGAGGCAGGCGTCGCCCCGTTCAAGGACGACTCGTCGATTGCTGCCAATGCTTTCTCGAGGCTCGTCCGACTGAAGCTTGGTCTCGCAGGGGGTGATCTACTCAGTGCTGAATGGCGTATCCACTACTGTATCTGGAAAGCTTCGAAGCGACCATTCATACCACCGCAGGAGTCGGCGAGGGTACGTGGATATCTCTGTCCGCGTCGATACTGCAGTGTCGGCCGTGCATTCAAGCACATGTACAGATTACCAGACATTCCTTTCAATCCAACGATACGACATCTGCGAGAAAATGTCACTGTATGCGCGACTTGCAGAAGGGGTGCGTCGGTCACAATCGCCCTCCAAATCCACGATCAATGTTATGAACCAAAGCTCAATCCGATTAGCACCCTCTTACAATACTGAATATTGTATCATACAAACGCGCGTGTTCCTCCATCCATCCAGCATCCAATGCAAACACAAGTCCAGTACGCCCGCCGGCGGGCCCTCAGCCTATGTTCTTGTACGCATGCTCGCCCGGCGTGCTCGTTGCTCGCCCTCGGGCGCGACGCTCGATGCCTGCTCGTACCGCCCGCGCTCCGTCGGGTGCGCGGTGTCCCCGACGCTGGGCGGCTGCGCAGTCCGCTGGTTGCTGTTGCTCTTCGGGAGGTCCGGCGCCCTCCGTCGCCGTCGCCGTCGCCGCTCTGCACGTCCGCGTCTGGCTTGCTCGCCACCCCGAACTGACCCTGCAATAGGAGCGTGAGTATATGCGAATGCGCGTGTGGGGCGGAGGGGACTGGGACGTACGCCGTCGTCATCCTGGGCCTGCTCCCGCCGCTTGAGCTCGCCCGTGCGCAGGTCGTGCCCGTGCTGCGCAACGTCGGGCTTGCGGAGGACCTTGCCCTTGAGCTCGTCTTTGTAGCCTGAGAGCTTGTCGCCGGTCGTCTGTTTCCGCGCCTCGTGTTAGCGTTTGCATGGAGTGTTCTGGGTGTAGAACTTACGACGCCGCGCCCGTATTCGGGGCCGAGCCCGACTGCGCCGGCGTGCAGCTGCTCGGGGTACTCGCTCTCGCCATTCTGGCTGTTCTGGCTGTTCTGGCTGTTCTGGGTGACGTCGTCGCGGCCGTCGCGGCTCGCGGTCGGTGCTGGGGAGTTTACAGATGGGGACATGGTTCGGGCCCGGTTCGAGTTCGTGAAGTGTCGTGAAAGTGGTTTGTGTGCGAGGTCGTGAGGTGGTGAAGCCGCAAAGTAGTGAAGAACTGCTGGTGAGCATGCTGGCCATGGCCGCCCCTTTATACTGTAGTCGTACTGGTGCGTGGAGAATGACGCAGCGGGAGTGTGAAGTAACTCTATTCTTGACAGCCTCTGGAGCGACACGCGTGACGTCACCTGAACGCGCTTGTGGCGCAAACTCTGTGCACGCGTAGGCGTGCCCATTCCGGGTTCGAATCGTCGTGTCGCTACGTCATGTACTGTACACTAGGTAGACTGTACGTTGCCGTAGCAGCCCTATACACACGCGTATGTACCTACCCTTGCAGTCTTTGCTAGTACTAACTGCAGAGTCTTCAAGTTCTCGCCACAGCACTGCTGGACTCGTACATTTGGCTCGCCCATCAAGAGGCCGGAAGGGGAGTTAACGAGCGCCACGGGAGCTCGTTCGCCTCCTGTAAAGTCCTGTCCTTTTTTGGAACGTACCTTCCTTGCCTGTCAAACGTTCGCTCGTCTTCACAATGCCTCGAGTCGTCAACGCGTCACGTTTCGGTTCAGAACGTCTATCTTGATTTGCCGTCTCCCTTTCAAGAACGCGTCGCTCCAGCAGTGTACTTATAGTGGACCTAGTCGTCTGTCTTTACCGAATTTCTCCCCGGTCGTTTCGCAACTTTCGCTCGCTCGCGTCTTCAGTCTGCAAGAAGTTGCCTGCGCACCCTCGAACAATCAGGTTGGGGTGTGTCTCTGTCGACCGTCTCGTATCCCAAACCTTTCGTCCATTGCTCGATGCGTCGTCTTGAGGCCGGATCTCGCGCAGAGCTATCGAGCCGTTGGGGCACACTACTCATCCTATATGCGGCTTCAGAAACCTCATCTTCAGAGTATATGCTAGGTTCGACACAAACCACGGTGAGACTACATAGAGTATATGCTGCAACCTACCTAGCATCTACTAGCTGACAACGATCTCAGCAGTGGACCGCTCTCGGTGACGTCGAATTCGCCTCCATGTACACCATCGGACGCGGTGCGTGCAGACCCAATGCATATCTTCCGAATGACGACTTCGTCGACTGCCGAGTACATCCCTAGCGCAACCAGTCTCCTCCGCACTCTCACCTTCCGGCCACTTACCCTCACGCGTTACCACACGGAATCGCAGTCGCAACCACAATCGGGAACAAGTGCCAGGCGTTTTGCGTTCGGTACGAAAGTCCAAAGGGTACGTAAGCGCTACAGCAAGGAGTAAGATAAATAGAGCGTGGGGCAGGGCGTGACGACGAGCTGGGTGCGCTCGCGTATGTACAGCAGGTGCGTAACACACAGCACCTCGTCCCGCAGTTCGGCAGTCCTCAAGTCCATCTGCCTGAAGGGCGCATGCCGACGGGCGCGAGTAGAAGGAGACGCGCTCATGCCTGGCCATAGGAGTGGGCGGCGTCGCTGTACGGGTAGGGCGCTTTGGACTGCATGAGGCCCTGGTTGACGTCGGTCGAGGTGAGCTTGTACGGGCCCTGCCAGAAGTCGGACTCGTCCTCGAGCTGCTCGACGTACCGCCGGATGACCACCACGATGTCTGCGCCTGCATCAGCAACCCCCACAACTCGCACAGAAACGGAGACTCACAGAGGTGGACGAGGATCTCGACGGCGACGATGACGGTGGCGACGATCTTGCCCGCGGTGCTGACGTGCGTGTCGCAGTCGTCGATCTTGACGGCGCCGTTCTCGTTGACGATGCAGGAGGTGGTGATGTTCTTCTCGGAGTAGAGGGTGTAGAGGAAGAGGGCGGCGGAGACGAGGGAGCCGATGAAGAGGAAGATGGACATGAAGGAGTACGACTTGACGAACCGCCGGTTGCGCGTGATGGAGCCGATGAACCTGGGCGCGACCGCATCAGCACGCAGGGTAGAGTGGAGGAAAGAAGGGAGACTCACCCGAAGAACGACGTCAGGGCCATGAGCGTGAAGATCGAGCCTACGACGATGAGGATGATCTCGGTCCGCTTGGGGACGTTGGTGTAGCCATCCGCCTTCGTGAGGATCACTGTGCGAGCGGTGAGTGGATATCCACAGGCCACAAATGATAGGAACGTACGGTGAACACCAAACCAGGCTATTGCAGCGAGGAAGCCCGCGGAGAGGAATGAGAGGAGGGAGAAGAGGAAGACGCGCGGACGGGAATGCAACAGCAGAAATGGCGGGACATGGCGGGTTCAGGTGCGTGCGTCACTCGATGGTCGTTTCACTCAGGCTCGTCGAAAGGCAGAAAGTCGGAAACTGGGTAAAGTCGGGCGCGCGTACAATGACTTGGAATGAAGAAAGTCTTTGCGAAATGCGCCCCGAGGAAAACGTGCAGTCAGGGGAGAAGGGAGAAAAGGAGAACGGGTGGGGAACACGAGATGGCTGGCAGGCATGACGAGGTATGTTATATAGACTCGCGTGTGGTCGCGCGGTGATCATGGCAGTGCAGCAAGCGGTGCGCTCAACAGGAGGAGGCGCACAGATGCTGGCCGCAAACCGATCGGGCGGGCTCGCCTCCTGCTCCTCCAAAATTGGCAGTCCATCAATTCCTCGGTACGTACGGCGCTGCGCAGCCTCCGCTCTGCTGCGCCTCCCGCTGTTTTCCTCAGTCCACCAGGCTGCAATGCACTCATTGCACACTGCATATCGGTGGTACGCGCCCTTTGCTCGACGGCTGGCGACCACGATGCACTAATAGTACGCATCCCGCAGGCCCTCAAGCGTCGGGAAGGCATCACCAGCCTTGTTTCGAAAGCTTCCCCAGCGAGCCGTGCGCGCCCGGATCGCCATATCAACCGACTCGGGCTGAACTGGTGTCGACCGACCGTACTGGACGGAACTCAAGTGCACGACGAACTGTATCCGAGGAGTACCCGAGGGCGGTGCGGGACGTGCGCCATCCAAGGCTGTCTGATTCTGAAATATCGCTCATCCTTGGGCGCGCGGGCGCAGTCTGGAGGCGATGAATCCTTGGTTGTAACCCTTCATCGCTTTGGGAATGTGCTGGTTCGTGTCAAGCGGGACGACATGATCGCATTCAGGTACACCGCGCAATGCGGTACTTATGCTGGGTACTGGTATGTAGGACTCTCGGCGAGCGTTACAGTGAGGTGGTGTCTCATTCTCGCAGCTCATATGACCGACTCTGACCTCACTGCCCCTAGACCAGACGAATGCGCTGCTCTCGAGTCAGCGC